GACTCAAAATGGCCAGTCCCAGGCCATTTCAGCTCATTAATGCCTAGGATATATCTAGCTTCAAGTGTTCCATTTCATTTTTGACAACTTCCAGTTTTCCTAGATTCATGCTTTGTACATTCCACATTCTGATTATTAATGGACATTTGTAGCGCTTTCTTCTCATTTTGAGTCATGCCACATCAGTAAATGAAAGTCCCGAAAGCTTGATTCCACCCGCATCAAGGTCGACTCTACTTTGAGGAGGCAGCTCTTACCCAGTTGTATTTTGAGTGCTTTCCAACCTGAGGGACTCATCTTCAGGCACTACATCACACAATGTTATGCTGCTATCCATAAGGTTTTCACTGGCCAATTTTTCATAAGTAGGTTGCCAGGTCCTTCTTCCTAGTCTGTCTTAGTTTGGAAGCTCTACTGAAACCTGTCCACCATGGGTGACACTGCTGGTACTTGAAATACCAGTGGCATAGCTTCTAGCATCACAGCAACCTGCAAGCCACTACAGTATGACAAACTGACAAACGAGTGGTGAATTTATTATTGTGCAAGGTGCCTTAAACTCCTCCTTTTAATCCCTACAGCACTCCTGTGAAAGAGGCTTTTATCATCTGTGCTTTTAAAATATGAGCACTTTAGGGTGTAGAGTTATTAATTAACTTGCTCAAGGTCACACACCTGGTGGGACCAGAGCTGGGACCAGAGCTGGGATTCAAACCCTGGAAAGTCTGACTTCCACCCCCATGTTCCTCCTCCTCTGCAGGCCTCCCCATTCCCCCGGGGAAGTCGAAGCACTGATCTTACTTACAAAGATGTCTCGTTTTGGGTGTTTCACAGGGGAAAGGGAAAAAAACAATACTAAAGATAGAATCACTACATCCACACAATGAAATAATATTAGGCCATATAGTGTATGATTCCTTTTATATGAAATGTCCAGAATAAGCAAATCCATAGAGATAGAAAGTAGATTAGTAGTTGACAGGGGCGGGGTGGGGGGTGTGAAATACGGGGTTGACTGCTTAATGGGTATGGGGTTTCCTTTTGGGGTGATGAAATGTTTTGGAATTAGAGAAATGTTTTGGAATTAGATAGAGGTGTTGGTTTCACCACATTGTGAATGTACAAAATGCTACTGAATTGTACACTTTAAAATGGTTGATTTTATATGATGTTAACTTTGCCTCAAAACCCCCCCACAGAATCAAACGCTATTTGTGGTGTATTTGGGGAATGTCTTTCACCCCTAGCTCCGATATACACGAAGGGCTGCCCAGTGCACAAGAATGAGACGTGGGCAGCGAGAGGCGGTGCGTGGAGCTGGAGATACCTGGCAGGGTGGGTAGAGCTCAGGTCTCCAAATTCAGAGGTGTTTGCTGAGTGTCAGACAGCACCACCTTGCTTGGAACCACGTGATCAGGGAGGCTGTCAGGTAACCTGTGCACTCTAAACACGGCAGAACACTCAGCATTCCAATACATTCTAACAGCTGATCAGTGCCCAGACTTAGGACTTCTATTTGCGTCAACAAATTTGGAAGACAGCTACCTGGCCAACTGACTAGAAGAGATCTACATTTGTATATATTCTAAAGAAAGGAGATCAAATAGAATGTAGAAATTATCAAACAGTATCATTAATATCACATGCTAGCAGAATTTTGCTGAAGATAATTCAAAAATCACCATAACTGTACTCTGACAGGGAACTGGCAGAAGTTCAATCTGTATTCAGAAGAGTACATGGAATGAGGGATATCACTGCTGATGTCAGATGGATCTTGACCAAAAGCAGAGAATACTAGAGTGATGTTTACCTGTATTTTGTTGACTGTGTGAATCATAAAAGCAAATTATGGATAACGTTACAAAGGATGGGAATTCCAGAACTCTTAGTCATGCTCATGTAGAACCTGTCCACGGATCAAGAGGCAGTTGTTCAGACAGACCAAAAAAACCAAACCAAACCCGTTGCCGTCTGGTCGATTCTCATATCGACCCTGTAGGACAGAGTAGAGCTGCCCTATATGGTTTCCAAGGAGTGGCTAGTAGATTCAAACTGCTGACCTTCTTGGTTAACCCCCTGAGCTTTTAACCACTGCACCACCAGAGCTCCCTCTTCAAACAGAACAAGGGGATATTGTGTGGTTTGAACTCAAAAAAGGTGTGCAGCAGGGTTGTATCCTCTCACCTTACTTATTCAATCAGTATGCTGAACAAATAATCCAAGAAGCCAAACTACATGAAGTAGAATACCGTGTCAGGATTGGGGGAAGACTCATTAACAACCTGCGATATGCAGATGACACAACCTTGCTTGCTGAAAAGGAAGATGACTTGAAGTACTTACTTGATGCAGGTCAAAGACTACACACCTTCAGAATGATAAAACAAAAATCCTCACAACTGGGCCCATAAATAATATTGTGATAAATGGAGAGAAAAACTGAAGTTGTTAAGGATTTTATTCTACTTGGATCAACAATCTTTGCTCATGAAAGCAGCAGTCAAGAAATCAAATTACATATATTTGAAAATTTTTATAACAACATGTCAGAAAAATAAAACTCAGTCTCCCTTTATGGAAAAATTATGGTTATGAAATAGAATGCAAATATTACACCCCATGTTGATATAAAAATAACAACATATATAACAACATATCCAAATTAGGGAAAGAAAAGGGATGGAAGGTGCAGGGTTGTATAAGCATGCCAATTTCCTCATCACAGGTAGTGGAAAGTGAGAGTTGCAACAGATGTTTACAGGTAATAAATGAACTAATAATATAAAAAGTTCTCTAGGAGAATAAGAATAATAATGGAACAAGCCAGAGCCTGAATGGTGCAGGGCACCAAGGAAACAGTGGGAATGCCCTAATTTGGGTTTTGCTCATTGAGGAGAATTAGTAGGTAAGATTATAAATAAGTTTTCAAGACAACCAAGGGCCATATAGTGAATCTTCAACAGAGAGAGGTTGTCTTAGTTTTCTAGTGCTACTATAACAGAAATACCACAAGTGATGGCTTTAACAAACACAGAATTTTATTCTTTGAGTTTAGGAGGCTAGAAGTCTGAATTTAGGGCACCAGCTCCAGGGGAAGGCATTCTCTCTCTGTAGGTTCTGGGGGAATGTCCTTGTCCATCTATCTTTGCCTGGTCTAGGAGCTTCTAAGCTCAGGGACCCTGGGTCCAAAGGACACGCTTAGCTACCAGCACTTCTTTCTTTGTGGTATGAGGTCCCCCTCCTCTCTGCTCGATTCTCTCTTTAGTATCTCAAGAGAGATTGACTCAAAATACGCCTAAACCTGTAGATTGTGTCCTGCCTCATTAGCATCATATAGGTTAGGATTTACAGCATACAGGATAATCACATCAGATCATAAAATGGTGGATAGCCACACAATATTGGGAATTATGGCCTAGCCAAGTTGACAAACATTTTAGGGGGACACAGTTCAATCCAAAGTAGAGGTAAAAGGGAAACTGTAAGATTCAGAATTGCTTAGTTAGGGTACTATCCTTTGTGATTTAAAAGAATCTCAAACAGTACACCAATGTTTACAGCAGCACTATTCATAATAGAAAAAAGGTGGAAACCACCCAGGTACCCTTCAACAGATTAACAGATACACAAAATGTGGTATATCCACGCCAAACCAAACCTATTGCCGTCCAGCCAATTCGAAATCATAGCAACCATATAGGACCTATAGAACTGCCCCATAGTGTTTCCAAGGAGCAGCTGGTGGATTTGAACTGCCGACCTTGTGGTTAGCAGCTGAACACTTAACCACTGCGCCACCAGGGCTCCATATCTATGCAGTGGAATATTATTCAGCCGTAAAGAGAAATGAAGTCCTGATACATGGTATGACATGGATGAACCTTGAAAACGTGCTAAATATAATAAATCAGACACAAAAGGACAAATACTAGATGATCCAATTTACGTGTTCCTGCTTATATCCACAATAGGCAAATGCATAGAGACCAGTGTTTATTAGTGGTTACCAGGGACCGGTAGGAGGGAGAAGTGGGGAGGTATTGCTTAAGGGGTACTGAGTTTCTGTTAAGGGTGATGAAAAAATTTGGAAATGGGTAATAGTTGTACAACATGGTGAATGTAATGCCACTGAATTGTACACATAAAAATGGTTGAAATTGTGCCATTTTGTTATATATATTTCACCACAATAAAAAATATTGAAAGAAAGGAACTCAAGCACATGCCTAGACTAAGATACTGTTAACAGTGGTTTCTTCTATGATAGGGACCATGATTGGGTGGGAGGAGGCTTCTGTTTTTACTGTGTATTCGTTTATACCACTGAATTAAAACAAGCAAAGAAACCCTTGAGATGTGTCGTTTTATACATCACTTCATGTTGGGGGGGAAAAAGATTCAGCGCCACCTCACCTCCCAAATAAAAATAAACAGTTAAATGACTGTCAGACACAGGCTCTCATTGTAAGTAGAGAATGGCTTTCAGAGGACGATGATCAATACTGCTATGAACTGCCAAGGGACAGAAAGATTTCCTGCCACTGGAAATCTTTAAAACTATAACACAAAACGCTTCAGTGTCCCGTGCTTTGTAAAGGCCTACGTGGAGGAAATGGATGTGAGGATTCATTACTCCTTTGAGTCTTCTGGCCTTAGGAGCTTTTACAGAATTGAACCACATCTGCAGTTACTCTGAATTCAATGCGGAATGTTCTGTGGGTTTTAATTCTATTTTGAATGAGTCATTTTTGCTTCTATGTGGCAGATATTTTTACTTCACTTCCCTATATGCCTGTCATTCAAAGCCACCATTCTCTAAGCCCTTGTCTTCCTAACCATCAGGTTGGGACTTCTGGCTTCCAGAAAGTCAGCCCCCAGCACAGGGCAGGGACCTCTCTTCTCCTTGAACTGGGCATTGTGATCTCTGCATAGCCCAGGGAAGCCAAGGTCTGACATTAATGACCTGCCTTTACATTGTTTTCCCATCCTTGCTGCAGGATTTAGATCTGTTCCTCTCAAGAACGGGTACAGCGAAGACATGGAGCTGGCATCCCTCCTGGTTTTCTGTGAAACGCGGCCGGTCCTGGTGAGTGTCTGGAATGCCACTTGGTGTGCCCTGAGCTGTATAGGCTGGGGGTGGAGGTGGTCTATGGAAGGGTTGGCTGATGGACTTGGGCCTTTTGAGAATTACCTAGGCCAGGCTTGAGACATCATAGAATTCCTTTCAGCTACAAATTTTCCCAGAGATGTTTGTCTTTTCCTCCCAGTATCCTTTTCTTGGAGAATGCTGTGTAATTCTGTGAGTAGGCAATGTAGTTGGGAAGCGTGAAGCTCCTTGGAAGGGCCTCATATTTTCATTTTAGTGAGAGCCTGCTTAGACGATGCTCTCCTAGATAAGCTCATTCTTCCGAGGTGCTTTCTTCTGTCTGGTGGTCCTTGGTTATCCTTTAAGAGTGGCAGAGAGCACCCACATGGCAACCTGTCCCTGCAAAGAAATTCACCAATCCCAACTTCCCATAGCAAGTGACACTTCTTTTGGGGTTCTCTCTACTACTGGAGGAGCTTTTCTTCTTGGTCCTTTTGGTTTTCCAAGGTTTTAAAGACGCTTAGTCTCTCCTCTGACTGACCAGTTTGGGTGGGCTTGGGAGAAAGGACTTGGGCTCATTAGGCTGTTGAAAGATGAGATACGATTACCCAGGACAAAGCATTAAGAACATAGCAGCAAGCTGTGGGTAGTTCAGGTCTGGAGTTTGGTGGTAGTAGATGGTTATAGGAGATCTAGATATTTATTGCGATTCAGGAGCTTCAGAATGTTAGTGATGGCCTCTCCCATAGAATCAAACTATTCAGATTGTATATGTGTCCAATACAATCTTCCATTTCCCTTCCCATCACAAAACCACAAAGCTCAGCACCGGCTGGGTGAGTTCTGTGGTCATCTCATTTATATTGGTCATTTCTAGAAATACTGTGGTTTTAGGCCCCAGAGGGCTGATCTGGGTTTGGTCACTGACCCTAAATATATGTCTTGTTTCTCATCCTATGGTTGTTCTCTGGGTAGAGAAATCACAGCCTATAATGTTGTTCTTTTGATTGTGAAAACTAAACAATGATTTGGAAATTCCTTATTTGGCAGCTTCCAGAATACAGCTGAGAACCTTCAGATGGCAAGAGAGATGGCAGGGATGGGGTGGTTTTTAACAGTTGTAGCAATAGTCCATGCAGTAAAAATTCATGAGCTTCACTCAGAGGAGAGAACCTTAGGGTTTTCTGCATAGCTGTTTCCCTTACGTTCAGTTTTCCCAAACTTGATAGTTTCCTCCCCCTAAGCATTTTAGAAGCGTCAGAATGCTTCTGAAGAGGATACAAAAATAAGGAAAGGCAGGCGGAAGAGCAGTAAAAACAGGATGCAGAGACTTGTAAGGCACAGTAACTGGGGGCCAGAGACACCTCTGAACCTTCACAAGGGCCAAGGGCATCCCTTCTTGTTGGTGTACAGTAAGTCCATGATGGCTAAATTCTGTCTTAAGGAGTTTTCCATTTTAAAAAAAATTTTAAATGTTAGTGGTTTAGACTCTCAAAATGAATGTAATGTTTATATGAAAATTATAGTTTTCACCTGAACCTTAATGTCATGGATCCACAAAAGTCACCTTTCATGATTCTTACTGTGATGGAAATGCTCTGATTTGCATGAAAACTTTTGTCAATTCCTTCCTTTCCCAGGGCAGTTGAGTCAGCCGGTCCATCCTTGTTGGGAAGGCCCAAGTCTTAGATCTCTCCTCTTTTAGAAGGAATTATGCATTTTTCAATTTTGCATTTTTCAATTTATCATTTAATAACCCTATTAAAGTCCTTAGTAAGTCCATTAAAAGGCTTAAGCCAGACTATATTATTTTGTGTCAATGGTTAAATACAAAAACACAGCTCAGATTCTGTGGAAAGTGTTGTTTTATAATTTGAGGTGGGGAAGGAGGGTTGACAGAGTTAGTATTTTGGCCTGTTTGATGCATTTCCTAGGCATATGCATTCTTTATATAGGTGTAATAGTCATAATACAAAATTATATGTATCCATGCATAATTTTTTCTTTAAAGCAGGTTTTTTGTGTTTTAGCTCTGGCACTATTGACATTTTGGAATAGATAATTCTGTGTTGTGAATAGATAATTCTGTGTTGTGGGGAGGGCTGTCCTGGGCCTTGTAGGATCTTTAGCAGCATCCCTGGCTTTGATCCACTGGATGCCAGCAGTACTGCCCTTGTCATGACAATCAAAACTGTCTCCAGACATTGTCAGATGTCTTCTGGGTGGCAAAACTGTCCTTGGTTGAGTACCATTTCCTTAAAGTGCAGTTATAAGCACTATTCATACTGTTGCCTAATCTTCATTAGCATTTAAATGACTGTAGACTCTTCCACCAAATGGATGGAGCATAGATTAATTGTTCCCCTAAAGTTGGGCATTTAGATGGAATCCACTTACAAATAAGGCTGTCCTGAATATCTTCATGTGTTTACCCTTTTACTCCTCTAAGTCAGAATCATCTCCTTAAGATCGATTCCCAGAAATGGAATTAGTGGGACCCATTAATTTAGCAGGATGGTAAAATGGTAACACTGGGGCTTCACCAAAAGCTTTGAATAGTACTCTAGGAGACTTTTGCTCAGTCAGGTCAGTCTCACCTCTCCCCAGTCACCAATGGGCCTGGGATGCCTGGGGACAGGGCAGCACATCTTCTCTGGGTACATAAAGCCCATGTGCAGACATTTCACAGGAGAATAAAGTGAGAAAACTGGTTTCAGATGGTGGTAAAACTTCATTCGTCTAGACGCTGCTCTGCAAAGCTGTCGTAAACAACCCGGAAACATTATAAATAATTTACATGATTAGGTATCACTGGTGGCAGAGGAAATTAGTGCATTTAAAAGAAAATTGTGTTTATCCAAATTTGACTTTCTTGATGAGCGAAGCTTAATGCTTTGGCGATGCCACCTCAGAGTGTGTGTGTGTTGGAGTGGGGGGGGTGGTGGGTACACACTGAGTGTGGTTCCAAAGGGAACGTCCACTTTCACAGATCTGAAGTGTTTTAGTGGAGAATCTGTGTGTGTGTGATTCTATTTCAGCTGCTGCTTCCTTAGATTTTATTTAATGCCACATCTGTCACCTGGTTCTAAGTCACTCACAGCTGCTGCTTGGTGTATCCACCTGCCACTGAGGATGGGGGACTCCCAGGAGCCAAGCTGGCTTATGTTTGGAAGACCTGGCCTTCCTTCATCTGTGGCAGGGTCAGACCTTGTTTTATTTATCACTGTATCCTCTGGGGTGCTATGAAGAGGCTTGGTAAACAGCCTTAGTACAGACTTGCCTGAGCAAATGATTGATCCAGTTGAGAGCTAAGATGGAGCTGACTCATGAGCCATTTGCTGAGATCACTTTTAAAGCCCCAGCAGACTGTCAATAAGTGCTTTACGCCCCTTCTGAAGCCATTTACATGTCACAGTTACTTTAACAATTCTCAGTCCTTTACTTGGTTAGCTGTAGATACGGTTTATAAAGAGTATTTGTTAACATTTTATTACCTACTCCTAATCACTTGAGAAGTAGGGGGGAAAAAAAAAAAAGAGAAATCCCTGGAAACAACCTATACAAGATCATTATTAGTATTTTGTTGTATTTCCTTTGCCTTATAATTGTTTTGCATTGTAGTTGGATTCATATAATACATATGAATGTATGTCCTTTTTCTATTTCACACATTAAGCATTTTTCCATGGTGTTAAATGGCTGTCAAAGCAAACTGAATTCCTGTTCCATTAGATGGAGGTTTCCTAATTCGCTTAGCCATTCTCCCACTGATGAACAGTTAAGCTGTTTGCAGCTTTTTACTTTATAAATATTATAAATAATGTCTTCATGTAAGTAACATTTTTTTTATTAACATTTTTTAAAATTAAAATTATATCCCGAGGCTAGATATTTAGTAATGGAATAATAGATCAAAGGGGGAAAAAAGACCATTTTTTGGATGCATGCCAAATTGTTCTCTGAAAAGTAAGTAGTTTGTTTTAAATTGATGTATTATACTCAACCTTGCTATTAATAGAAAGGGGCCTCCACTAAAAGATCTCAACAGGTGAAGTTTAGAAGAATTTTGTGGATGAAAGATGGGTACAGGGGATTGGGGGAAGTATGGCAACTTGAATATTCATCCTCCTCATCATCTGGTGGACAAGCTGGCACACATGGGGGGTGTGTTTCAGAAAATACTGATCCTCAAGTAGACTGAGCTTCACTCCGTGCTAGGTGGAGCTAAGGCATAAGGGGGCCTAGTGGGAAGAGCAGGATGCTGTGGTTCCTTTGGAGAAGGGCTGCAGCACACATTCTAGAGTCCTGGAGGACCAGGATCGGGGGGCCACACTCTGGAGCTGAGCTGGTCCTGGTTTATGAGGTTGAGGAAGATTTCCTTACAATGGAGAGACCTAGAGGCATAGAGAAAGGACCCCCCTTGTACCTCAACAGCTTCTTACAGGTTTTCCTATTTGTTCAATGCTGGCCCCAAAGAGCAGAAACTGCTGTGCCTACCACCCAAGACTCAACAATGTGATGTGACCACTGAGTGGACAAAACTGTGAGCATACAGATTAAAAAACTGACACAGAGCATCAAGAGGAAGAAAGACCCAGATGAACACCTGGTACAGGGAGTTAAAGTAGAACCATTAGAAGCATCAGATGAGACCCCTAACACCTAAGTCATAAGGATCTTCCAAGGATATCCAAGTAAAGAACTGAAAAAGACATGTTGGAATTGAAGAAACACTGACTTCTGGAATTTAAAAATTCAGTACATAAACAGAAGATGGTCTCTGAGATCTGAATTAGTATGACCCGAAAGATAACCTGGAAGAAACATCTCACGATGAGATGGAAACCAAAAACGTAGACTCGGAGGTCAGATGCAGATTACCTAGTAACATGCACACATGCCCAGAAGCACAAAAGGGAGCACAGGTGAGAAGCTATTAAAGAACCAGTTAATTGAGAAAATACTGTTTGCAGCTTGAGAGGGCTTATTGGGTCCTAGGT